TACTTCCTAGTGTTTCCCTGTGATTACTGTAGCTGTGTGACTGAATTCCAGCCAGAGGAACATGAGCAGAGGTGATACGCATCACTTCCTGGCCTGGCCCATTAACCTTCTCGCATATGATGCTGTATGTGCTTTCCCTTCCTTTCAGCTTAAGGAAGGTAAGCATGGTGAGCTTGGATGCCATATTTTGAAGTGTTGGAGCCACAAAATGGAATAAGGCTGGATCCCTGCATGTTTGGGGGAAAAGAGTCAGGAACCAACCAGGAACATCTGTGTTAGATTTAAGGGAACAAAAGATAAACTTATGTCAACTTTGTGCCACTATATTTGTTGGGGGTGTTTGTTGTAGCAGCTAGAGTTATCTTAACCAATATATATGTGAATTGAGCTGATCTGTTATCCCTGGAACATGTGTCTCGCTTCTGCACATACTTTTCCTTAAAATCTCATTCTCCCATTCCAGTTATTCACATCCTAAAAATTATTCAAGGACTAAACCAAGACCAATTGCCTCTAAGCAGCTCTCTTCCACACCCATCAGCCACAGTGATATCTCCTTCCCTCAATGCCTATATCACTTTGTTGTCTATGCCTTTCATGTGCCCTTGCCATAGCTTCAATTTTGGATGTCTTGTTTTCCCAATGCGGTTGTAAGCTCTTCAAGGTCAAGGATCATGTTTTTATGCTTCTTGTATGTCTCTGAAGTATGTAATACGGTGTTGAGCCTTGGGAATTTTCAATAAATATGTGTGGGGGAAATGAATTTATAGATGCATTAGGCTCAATAAAATCTGCTTTCCTAAAAACGACCCTTCATTACTTCAAGCAGGAAGGCATGTAAACTATAATTTACTGGAGTTGGTGTTTTTATTCTTTTCACTGACATATACATTCTAACACTTTTTGACAACTGCTTAGAGGAGACAGAAGGCATGCTCATCAAATTTCAGTTGACACAAAACTAAAGGTAATAAATAATGCACAAGATGCCAGAATCAAAAGTAGGCAAGTGGGAATGAAGCAGATAGCATTTAATAAGGATAACTACAAGATTAAATTTTTAAAAACCAACAGCCCAGGGGCACCTGGGTGGCTCAGATGGTTGAGTGTCCGACTTCAGCTCAGGTCAAGATCTCACAGTTTGTGAGTTAGAGCCCTGCATCAGGCTCTGTGCTGACAGCTCAGAGCCTGGAGCCTGCTTCGGATTCTGGGTCCCCCTCTTTCTCTGTACCTCCCCCACTCACGCTCTGTCTCTCTCCCAAAAATAAATAAACATAAAAAAAAAAAAAGGCCAGCAGCCCAATTTCAGTATGGAAAGACATGGCTAACAGAAAAAACTTTTTAAGTTTTAATTGGCTGCTGGGCTGACATGAGCCCAGGGTGGTATACAAGACCCCACGCTAAGTTAGGCTCCAGGCACCGAGTGGCAAAGTATTCAGGTTTTAACAGGGCACTGGTTTTAACAGGGCATGAATAAACATCACTAGGTGGAGGCCAATTAGAAGCGGATGTAGCATCAATGTTGGGTAAAGGAGGGAACGAAGGGCAACGTCAGCGCATGGGTTAGCTTTCAGCTGTAGCATTAGTGGGAATCTCCTGTCTAAGGCCGCCATTAAGTGATTTCTGACACTAAGCTACCTGGGGCCCCTAAGAGTTTTGCCCCCAAGTAAGTCTTAAAGGTTTGTTATTTTACTTTTGGCCACACTCTCCTGTGTCAGGGTCAGAGCTGCCCTTCACTTAAGACACTTCACTTTTGAAGCTGAGAAGTACGTCATCTGGGTAAATTCAAGTCAGCTTTGAGACAGGTGAGAGAAAGCAAATCACATCTCCTCCAGGCTCAGTTGGGACAATCATTCCAGGATCCTCAGATCTGCTTCTAGAAACCCACATTTGCTAAAAACTTGCCAGAATTCTGGCAAGAAGCCTATGGCCTAAGCCTTAGCACTGGATCATTTAAAAAGTGAATACAATCTTAGGCAGTGCTAACAGAAGCCTAGCATCTGGAACAAGCATCCTGCTGTCATCTGTGCTGGTCACAACACACAGGAAGAATTGTTTCTATTCCAGATACCATGATTTTTTTTTTCTAAATAACATTTTATTTTTGTTTATT